TATATAATATCGCCTTAAGGTAGGAGTTATAAACTGAGAAATTTAAATCAACCTAATGTAAGAGGCAAGAGGTAATTGTAGAATAAAGTCATCATGTACAGCGAGTATGGAAAGTATTCAGACCCCCTTAAATTTTACATTCTTTGTTATATTGCAGCCATTTTCTACAATCATTTAAGTTAATTTTCCCCCTCATTAATGTACACAGACAGAATGTTTGCAGATTTATTAAAAAAGAAAAACTGAATTATCACATGGTCCTAAGTATTCAGACCCTTTGGTGTGACACTTGTGTATTTAACTCTGGGTTTGTCGATTTCTTCCGATCATCCTTGAGATGGATCTACACCTTCATTTGAGTCCAGCTGTGTTTTATTATATTTCGGACTTGATTAGGAAAGTAAAACATCTTTCTATATAAGACCTTACAATTCATTATGCAAGTCAGAGCAAAGTAGAATCATGAGGTCAAAGGAACTGCCTGAAGAGCTCAGAGACAGAATTGTGGCATGACATAGATCTGGCCACGGTTACAAGAAAGTTCTGCTGCACTTAAGATTCCTATTAGCACATAGCCTCCATAATCTTTAAATAAAAGATGTTTGGGACGACTAGAACCCTTCCTAGAGCTGGTGTCTGAGCTATCAGGGAAAAGAGCCTTGGTGAGAGAGGTAAAGAAGAACCGACATATTACAATGGCTGAGCTCCAGAGATGCAGTTGGGAGATGGGAGAAAGTTATAGAAAGTCAACTATTACTGCAGCTCTCCACCAGTCAGGGCTCTATGGCAGAGTGGCCCGACACATGAAAGCTAGCATGGAGATTTCTAAAGAAACATCTGAAGAACTCCAAGATGGTGAGAAATAAGATTCTCTGGTCTGATGAGACCAAGATAAAACTTCTAAGTGGTATGTGTGGAGAAAACCAGGCACTGCTTATCACTTGTCCAATACAGTCCCATCAGTGAAGCATGGGGGTGGCAGCATCATGCTGTGGGGTGTTTTTCAGCTGCAGGGACAGGACGACTAGTTGCAATCGAGGGAGAGATAAATGCGGCAAAGTACAGGGATATCCTGAACGAAAACCTTCGCCAGAGTATTCAGGACCACAGACTGGGCTGAAGTTTTACCTTCCAACAAGACAATGACCCTAAGCACACAGCTAAAGTACCAAAGGAGTGGCTTTACAACAACACAACAGCCCTGACTTAAACCCAATGGAGCATCTCTGGAAAGACCTAAAAATTGCTATCCACCAAAGTTTACCATCCAACCTGACAGAACTAAAGAGGATCTGCAAGGAGGAACGGCGGAGGATCCCCAAAGCCAAGTGTGAAAAACTTGTTGCACCTTTCCCAAAAAGACTCATTGCTCTAGATCAAAAGTGTGCTTCTACTAAATACTGAGCAAAGGGTCTGAATACTTAGGACCATGTGATATATTATTTTAAATTTTTTAATAAATCTGCAAAACGACAATAATTCTGTGTTTTTCTGTCAGTATGGGGTGCTGTGTGTGCATTAATGAGGAAAAAATAAACATAAATGATTTTTACCAAATGGGTGCAGTATAACAAAGAGTAAAAGCTTTGGGGGAGTCTAAATACTTTCCTTACAGCTGTATATTTCATACTTCAAAAACTTTCACATTAGTCTAAAAAATGCATGTGTTGAAGCCAATTTATCAAAATGCCAAGTTGTACAATGTGCCACTTTATTACGTAAAATGTGGTTAAACTCTGACTCCACAGAAAAATGCAGGCTGTCAAATAAACTTGCAAAATTGAACATGAGTGGGCTTCCAGCTGTGTATTTTTGTACGGTAGGGCCTAATCTTAGATGCAAAGCGTTTAACATTTATTAATATGCACATCTTATAGCCAGAGAATGTTTATGTCCTAGTCTGCAATCCTTCACGCAAACTTAAACAATGTGTTTCGATGAAGGGGATCAAAACAAGATTGAAATTAGACTATTGCTTCTAAAATAGGATGCTTTTTTGATGTAAGAATCTTAAGTGGCCCTCAGAAAACAGTACAACACAAAATGGTAGTTCACAGCCCCTTTAGTGTGTGTGTGTGTGTGTGTGTGTGTGCGTGCGTGCGTGTGTGTGTGTGTGTATGTAACCATTGACTTTTTACATATTTATTTATTTTTATATTATTTTGTTGCATCAGTCGTGCTGTGCAGAGGAGTTTAGCAATAATACGACATGCCAAACAGAAGAAACAGAAGGCCAAGCAGTACTGCATGTATTACAACCGGTTTGGCAAGTGTAACCATGGCAACACCTGCCCCTACATCCACGACCCCGACAAAGTGGCTGTCTGCACCAGGTTCAGAGCATCTCCACACAGTCTCACATTAAACAAAATGTCTAACACTGTGTAATGTTGAATAAATAAAATTCTTGTTTGGTTGACAGGTTTCTCAGAGGCACATGTAAGAAGACAGATGGAACTTGTCCGTTTTCACATAAAGTTGCCAAAGAGAAGGTAAATCTGTACTTTTTTACGTACTTTCATCAAGAGTGTAAAAATTAATAGGTTTAAGCTCCATTTACACCTGGTGTGAAGATGTGTTTTCATCAATCCAGTCAACATTATATGACCTTGGTATAATCAGGAAAAAAAGTGTTATAGACAACAGCAGAGACGCATGAAATAGGCTACACATGACAAATTATACATACACACCAGTGCTGCTGAGCGGCCACAGTCATGACATCAATTTCCTACAGTTATTGTTTACTAACGAGGTTACAGCACCAAAAACTGGCCAGGTATATGTAATACAGCGATTTTGGCTATTTTCACAAATATATATGTAAATATATATATGCAAATTGTTTTGAAAATGTTTTTTTGTAAAGTGAAACTTTTTTAGAATGCAAGGGGGGAAATAACATGTAAACGTAGCCTTCATCTAAGCAGAATTGAATCCACACTCATCTGTCACAGTGTAGATCATAATCTGATAGACCTGGTTTCAATCATACCTCAAACATAAAATGTGCAGCTACAGTATTTTATCTTCATAGGGCGGTATTGACAGATGGATTTATGCATAAAGCCATCAGAATCTTAACATAAGTCATGACTGGCCATATGTGGTAGTATCAGGTTACTGTCAGGGCTTGCTGGCCGGTGGGGTGATAATTAAAGATACTATGTCAGGTTCTTAGCTTCCTCTCTCAGGTTATGATGGTGTGTCACAGTCTCAATATCTGTGAGGCAATCCCATAGATTCCCGAGTTACATACTTCGAGGTCTTTGCAGAGGCATTGCCGTCATGAAGACAGGTGGAGATGGGATCAGTATTGACGCAACATGTGACCCATCATATACTAGTCTAGATTCTCCCGAAGTGAACATTACGACCTCATTACTTACCTACCCCTCTCAGACAGACACATTCACGTGTGCATGGTCATTTTTTAGTCTTGAAGTCTGCTGTCTCACCCTGTTACCCCCTTAAGCTGATAACATTATAAAAATATTGCATGTGGAGGATTATTTTCAAATGGAATCTGATGATGTTTGGGCTATTGTCAGGCTATTGTTCATTTATGGGTTTAAATGGTATTTTAGATACCATATATATATATATATATATATATATATATATATATATATATATATATATATATATATACAGTTGAAGTCAGAATGATTAGCCCCCTATTGATTTTTTTTTTCTTTTTTTAATATTTCCCAAATGATGTTTAACAGAGCAAGGACATTTTTACAGTATGTCTGATAATATTTTAACTTCTGGATAAAGTCTTATTTGTTTTATTTCAGCTAGTATAATAGCAGTTTTTAATTTTTTAAAAAACTATTTTGGGACAAAATTATTAGCCCCTTTAAGCTAATTTTTTTTCGATAGTCTACAGAACAAACCATCATTATACAATAACTTGCCTAAATACCCTAACATGCCCAATTCACCTTATTAACCTAGTTAAGCCTTTAAATGTCACTTTAAGCTGTACAGAAGTGTCTTGAAAAATATCAAGTAAAATATTATTTACTGTCATCATGACAAAGATCAAATAAATCAGTTATTAGAAATAGGTTTCTAAAACTATTATGCTTAGAAATGTGCTGAAACAATCTTCCCTTCATAAAACAGAAATTGGGGAAAAAAATAAACAGGGGTGTTAATAAGTCAGGGGGGCTAATAATTCTGACTTCAACTGTATATATATATATATATATATATGTATGTATGTATATATATATATATATGTGTCAGAAAAGGTGAAATTTAAAAATAATCGAATTATAACTAATTAAAACTTGATTTCCCTTTTTTTTTGCCAAAAAGCCTGATGGATTAATTGTTGTGCAATGAAATAAAGTGTTACTAACAGAAGAGGAAACACGCATGGACCGTGCTTTTATTCATTCATAGAAAGAACAGTCAGAAAGGCAAAACTGATTGATTTGTATTAAATATTAGCATCATTGACTCATAACAATGTACAGTGCCTATTACTGTCAGTATGTTTGTGTGCTCTTCATACAGTTTCTTTTCTAATTTGCAGTTAAGTGGAAGAAATAAATAAATAAATTGAAATGCAAATCAAAGTATAAATAGCAGAAGTGAACATAGATTTTCCCTACCAGCAAATATTAATTCAACAGCAAATATAAAAGCAGACACCAACCCGCTGTAACGCTGTAACCAATGACTAAATCTACAAAAGACCGACGAAAACATTGGTGAATTGTAGCTCTGACATGGACACAAGGGATATAAATTACTGAAAAACAGATTTGGGTATAGTATATTGATCTCTGTTTTGTTCTGTTGATTTTTAATGCTTTGTAATTTTGTAGGAAACAGTTTAGATCTTTTTAGGGTAAGAGTTGTGTCAGTTATTGCCGTCAGTCTATCACTCCCCGCTCCTTTAGCGCCCCGCTCTCACAGCGCTTGATCCACACTGGCATTTCTCCCCTTGGGTTTTAGATTTTGAAAAGAGAAAAAATTCCACCAACCTGTCCAAACTTTTAGGAAATCGAGTATCAGATTTGCCCAATCCATATGCACAGCGATTTGGCTTGTTTCCCTCGCTCGAAAGCTTGACAGAGTTCCTGCGCGTAGCTACATTTGCTAAGCCACGATTGGTGGGTGGCAGTTTTTGGGTGTGGCTTACCGAAGGATCAATTACAATAATAATAGCCTGCTCATATTAACCTTTATTTTACATCTACAGAATCGTGAGAAAATCGTGGTCTTGATTTTAAGCAAAAAAAAAAAAAACGTGATTCTCATTTTAGCCAGAATCGTGCAGCCTTACTCCACATGTAAAACACTTAATTAATATAATTTGAATAAATGGTTTGGAATTGGAAGTTTTATGAGATTATTTACATTTATTATGATTATTTTTTATTTAAATTAAGAATTTAGCAGGATTGCAAACATGTGTGACTTTTTGTTGATTTTGTGTTGGATTCAACAATTGCTAAATGGCAAAATACTTGGGGGTCTGCACAGAGACGTAATGCAATACAAGATTTATAATCACAGCAGGAGTGGCATATGAAGAGGTATAAATGACAGGTTCAGTAGGACCTGGTCAGAAACTTTCCCCACACTTTCTTGTCACAGCAAGACACCTGTTTGCCTTGTTTGTTGGCCACAGAAAAAAGCCCACCCTCATTCACTTTCTGTAAAATATAGTCTTTCTCTCCCCCCTCCTCTCTCCTTATTCCAACACTTGTTCAGACTTTTGCTTGTATTCTGTCCACGGCCCTGCTCTACCAATACCCCTCCACACACACACAGACACTCACACACCGAAACTCTGCACCTGTGACAGTCTTCGCCCTCTACCCCTCCAGTCCAGCGAGAGACCAGCTGTCCACTTGTCTTAAAGGAGCAGAGCCACCTCATCGCAGCAAAAGCCCACCTGCTCGCCCCAACCCCATAATACCCCCACAGCCTCGGGGCTCAATTTAACCCCGCACCCTGTGTGTCATCCATGTATATGCTATGAAGCATGGCTTGAGTTCACGCCTGCAATTGAAAACGATACAGTCCCCCTTCCAAATAACTGAGAAACAAGATCCCCAACCCCCCAAACCCCTTCACCCCAGTCATGGCTGGCGTCCATTTCCCCTCCCCTGCACATAAACACATCATGCAGGTGGTACGACGCCCCGCTTGGGTCAATATTTCTGTTGCAGTTAATTAAGCAGAAATGATATGACCCCCATGGAAATGAGATTCCACTTAAGAGGGCAGCGCAACGCCCCCCCTTCCACCTCCCACCCCGCTCATCGTGCGCCCAAACCTCACAGTCTATTTTAAGCCCAGAGAGCAACTCAAGTCACGTTCAGATTATTCATACATGCAGATTATATTCACCAGGAGTCAGTGCAAATCTGTGCCATTGACACATGCACATAATTACTGATTAGACAATGTGTGATAAATGTGTGTTGTGACAGGGACTTCAATAGATACGTGACATTATACTGGAGCCATATGTATAAAACTCACTTGCGTTTTCCATTACTTACACATGTTAGATGTAAGTGTACACATGTAAGTGGATTTAAGGCTCAGTCGTATTGTTTCCACAGTCAACCTTTTGATATTCAAACTTTAGTGATACAGTTGAAGTTTAATTACCCCCCCCCCCCCCCCCATATTTTTTCCCAATTTATGTTTAACGGAAAAAAGTTTTTTTTTCAACACATTTCTAAACATAATAGTATTAACTACTAATTTGTAATAACTGACTTATCTTTTCCATGATAACAGTACGTACTATTTTACTAGATAGTTTTCAAAATACTAGTATTCAGCTCAAAGTGCCATTTAAAAGCTTAACTATGTTAATTTAGGGTAATTAGGCAAGTCATTGTATAACGATGGTTTGTTCTATAGACAATCAAAAACAAATATTGCTTAAGGGGGCTAAAAATATTGAGCTAAAAATGGTTTTAAGAAAATTTATTATTATTATTTATTCTAGCTAAAAAAAAAAGCAAATATTTGAAAAAGAAAAAATCCCAGTAGGGCTGATAATTTTAACTTCAACTATGTTTGTTTTAGTTTGCGTTTTTGTGTTGTTTGATTTTTTTTTTTTTGATTAATAAAGTAATTTATAATCTCTAAATGAATGTTTCCTTCTTTTCTTGTAGATGCCGGTGTGCTCATATTTTCTGAAAGGGATATGTAATAACAGCAGTTGTCCCTACAGCCATGTCTATGTGTCTCGTAAAGCTGAGGTGTGTGAAGACTTTGTGCGAGGCTACTGCCCTCAGGGAGATAAGGTAAGGCAGTTAGAGGATTTCCATTGCAAAACACGAGTTATTGATTATTCAAATATAGAGGATGATTGTTTTTTTTTAATTAATAAATGTATTAAATTACAAATTAATTAATTATATAATCTGTCTATCTATCCAAGTACTTATTGTGTTATTGTTCTCTAAAATGTAATAAACAAATAGAAAATAACTTGTAAATAGTTTTAATTGAATTAAGTTTCTTTACTGTAACTCTTGTTATTGGCTTGTTAATTTGGGGCCGATCACACCGAACGCACTTTTTGCGTCAAGAGGTGACTTTTTTGAATAATTTAAAACTTTTAACTGCCTGCTGTGCCTTGCGTTTTTGCTGCCGCACGCTGTTTGCTCGCAGTTGAAAAAATTACACTCTGAGCAGAAAAAGCGTGTTATGTCAGTCACGTCTTTTTCAATCTCTAATCAGATGAAAGCAGAGGTGGAGTTTCCATTGAGGTGACAGCAGTGTTTGTGTTGTCAAGGCGACTACAGACACTTTCAAAGATTGAGGAGAGACTGGTGGTCACTTATTCAAATTATCCAGAGTTTTATGACTTTAAAAATCTTAAAATTAGAATATTAATAAATATTACAATTATAACAACATCAACAGCAGCACTCGCGCACAATACGCAGCTGATTCAGTCGTTGTCTAGTGATGTAAAAAGTGCACAGCACTTCTCTTTTTTTTTGTCAACAAAAACTGCAGTGTGGTGCGCCTCGTATTTTTAGAATGTAAAATCGTGTTCAGTGTGATCGACCCTTAGATCTGTAGCAAGCACTTCCATCATTTTGCTTCTTTAATCTTTTTCAAAAAATGAAAAGTCTTGCATAACATGTATGTATTAAGCAACATTTTGGTCACACAAATGTTATCAGGCATATAAAAACAATGTTTTACAAAACTCAAATTAAACAAAAACTTTTTCAAGCACGTTAAAGCATAGAACAATCATCACAACCTAAGGTCTTTGCACAATAAAGTCCAAAATTTTCGTATGTGTTTATTTCCGTAGGTATTCATATTCGAAACATTCGTCACGTAAACAAACCTTGCACACTGAGTCCATTGTGTATTAATTAATCCATTCTAAAAAATGCTAAACATTTTGGAGTCGGAGAGTTCAGCTCATTATCACAGAGTTGCGCGAGGTCGAATTTATATTTTGACATGTGAAAAATGTTGGACGAAAATTTCAGATTCAGTGTGCAATAAACATTACAGTCAACTATATTTATCTGAAAAATAATGAGAGAAACAGCTATGAAAAATGTTTTCTCTGAGTTTACATTTTATAGTTACGTATGACTAAAATGTCATTTTTATTTTATTCTGTAAATTACTGTAAATGTTAACTTTTTCTAAATTTAAAGTGGCTATAAATCCCAGCTTAAAATAAATTATAAGGAATAAAAAGCTTTCTTTAAAAAAACCTATACATTTTTTATGCATTTTATCTAGTTTTACATTTTAAATTGCCATTAAAATACAGTAAATTGTTAATAATTGTTTGACTAGGTTTTGTTTTTCTTAAAAATCATGTTTTGGGGCCATAAGTTCCTTCAACTGAAAATAAATTCCTCTTATTTTTACACACTTGTGCACACTTGTGTTGTACCTAAATGGTACGGTAAATGGTGCTGATAAGGAGAAAAAGAATAACTGTTTGGCACATTGTATATTCAGGTCATCTCTGTCAACATATTGTATCTTCATCTACTTGCGTCCAAATAGTTGCTGTTCTCATTATTTCAATGTACATGTACTTTAACATTCATAACACTTGTCGGATTAAAGTGGCTTGCGGTCGATGACTGTTTTATAGGTCTTAATGAATGAATGCCGTTTATTGGTGATGAATTTTTGCAAGAGTTTTAAATAGAGCTCTTAAAACTTGACTGTGTTCCTGATGTTAATCTAAACCTTCATCAAACTGCTTATGACATATGCATTTGGTTTCCTCCATGTTTGTGAGTGAGTGACATATTGAGGGCAGTAACAAGAGAGGGCGACGCGACCCACATTTACTAAGTGTCCTCTTGTGCCCTTAATCCAGCAGGTTCTGACCCATCCATGACCTCTATCTTCACCCTAACACACACGCACTCACACACAGACACAGAGACTCCTGTTTTCCCATCACACCTGTCCCACACAGGAGTGTACAAACCAAGGCTTGCAAGACAGGTGCAGCCCCTGTTATATTGTAATATTTATTGTACCCTTTCTCATATTGTTTGTATAGGTGACATCATTTGACTTATATATGTTATTTGTTACATTTATTGTTAACAGTTTGCTCAGTAATATTTCTTAAAATAATATTTAACAATATGTTTCAGTTCAGTATTACTTAATAGGCTCATTAAAAATACAGCATTTATTAGTCTAGCTTTATTACATGCTAATCAAATTTTATGATCCATAAAGAAAATATATTTTAGTGTTTTTATGTCATTTCGAAATTATAAGAACTTAATTAATTTAAAATAAATCTTTGAACCACATTCATTCATTCATTTTTTTTGTCGGCTTAGTCCCTTTATTAATCCGGGGTCGCCACAGCAGAACGAACCGCCAACTTATCCAGCAAGTTTTTACGCAGGGGATGCCCTTCCAGCCACAAACCATCTCTGGGAAACATCCACACACACATTCACACACACACTCATACACTACGGACAATTTAGCCTACCCAATTCACCTGTACCGCATGTCTTTGGACTGTGGGGGAAACCGGAGCACCCGGAGTAAACCCACGGGAAGGCAGGGAGAACATGCAAACTCCACACAGAAACACC